CACAAAAGAAATTCCATGAAGTTCCAAAGGAGAGCTCACTGTTTACTTTCTCCACACCAGGGAAGGTCCCTACGCTCCAGCACTAGTTTCAAACCCGAAGACTTGGGACTCTAGGGAAAAGGGTCCTAAAATATTTTGGTATTGTCTAGGAATGAAATTAAATTTAGAACAGTCCATCTGTTTGATTAGGGAGAAAAAGAGCTACATTTTCTTGGCATGCAAATCTTTTCTAAATTTCAGAGGGGTAGTGTTCCAGACGTCTCTGGAAATCACTTTGGAGCTCACCAGTTCTGCTAACACCAAACACAACGTCCATCTCTTTTCTTTCTTTTAGCTTTTTTTAAACAATGTTTTTATTTCTTCTTTGAAATTTTCATATGTTAATACAATGCATCACAGCTATTCCCTGTCTTCCTCCAACTTCCTCCACCCCATTTCCCTCCCAGCCGCATGTCCTCCTTCTTTAGGTACTAATAATCTCCAGTTAGTGTTGCCCTTAGGCTCGTCGGTGTGGAGCCATCCACTGCGGCGTGGGCAGCGTAGGCTGTGAACTGCAGACCAAGAATGTGTATCTCGGTGGTTCCCTACGGTCCCTCCCATTCCGACTGAACTCGGCATCTCTGCTAGAGCTGACTTCAGCAACTTCTAAGGCCTGCCTTCTTTGCTTCTTGGGGAAAAAATCAAACAGAAACAGACTCTTGTTCCTAAGTTGAAGCCCCACCACCAGGTACGAGCAGCTGCCACTGAGCACTACTTGGGTGCCAGCCATTCCCTCTCTGTCTCTGTCGTGTCTCTCTCTCTCTCTCTCTCTCTCTCTCTCTCTCTCTCTCTCTCTCTCTCTCTGCCAGAGACTTCAACATCGTTGTCACTGTTCCCATTTCACAGATAGGGAAGCAAATCCACTTCTGCCAGATCTCACACCTAATAAACGGCAGAGCCGGCCTGCCGACTGAGGCTTCTGAACTGCACAGCCACGCAAGCAAGTCCAAAAAGTCCTTTTATGGTTTTTTTCTACCTGTTTGCCAATTGCTTTTTTTCTCTAACATGAAATATTATTCTCAAAACCTTGCAAAAAATTCCAAATGACGTCTTAGAAAAGACAGACTTTGAAACAGAGAGGAGAGGGCCGACGTCTGCCTTCCAGTTTATTATCTCATCTTGATTCCTGCCACCGCCATCTCTTGTTGTTTTTAACTTCTTCAACTCCGTCTCATTCTTCTTGCCACTGGCTCTCCTCCCTTCTCCTTAGTCTGAGGAGCCCCGAAGTTTGATCCCTCAATTCCCCATGTGTTTCACTCTGCTTCCCTCCAAGAACGCTCAGCTCACAGATGTTCCCCACTACCATTTGCCAGTGACTTCCAAGAGTTTTTCTCTAAGTCCGCATTCCAAGCATGTGGTTTATAAGACACTCAGGGTAAAAAGCTTCCTAAGGGCCACATGGGTTTACGAGGGAAAGAACTGACTGGTCACAGGCGAGAAATGCGTTAGCGGATGGCCCTTTCAGATTCTCAGAAAATGGCGCCAATTATTTTGAACACCTAGGGAGGTGGCACTCTTGGCCCTGTCCCTTCCCTTTCTCTCCCACACCCTCCCTTCTACCTGCCTGACCTGAGAGGCATGCTGAATGAACACAGGATGTGGCACAGGCTTAAAGCATAAAATCCTTCCCTCAGTGTTTCCTGCCTCAGGTACAGTAGAACACTGTGGTGGAAAGGTAGGGTGCTGCAGGCAGGGCCATCAGATCCCCCTCAGTGTTCACACTCAACAGCTCCATGAGCTCTCTGAGTTCAGAGACTTTATCTACAAAGCTGAGATGACAGCACACTTTCTTGCTCGTTGTTTGGGGGGAGGACTGAATAAATCTTGGGAAGTCCTGAATGCCAGACTAGCCTGTCACCAGCCTCAGAGTGCGGCTGTCTTTAGTGGTGTTCTGTAACCCTTTGCTGTGGAGACGCTAGTGAACTCGGGCTTCCTACAGCACCTGGCTTTGGACTGGTGGCTTTCTTCCTTTTTAAAAAAGCTTAGATGATAACTAAGGAAACTGGAAAAAGACAAGACGATTCGCCCTAATGGGAGCTCTCGATGTTTTATTCTGTTGTCAACTCACACCTGTGAATTGGGGAGGAAGCGGCTTATCGCTGCCATATAGTCAGCATTTCATAAGGTGCATTCCCTGGATCAGTGACCATGAGTTGGTATGTGTGCCGACGACCCGCCCCCAGGTGACCGCCATCCGAGGGTGAGGGTTTTAGTTTTGTGCTTCTATCGCCTAACTTAAAATTTGATTTTATAATTTTTTGGTTTTGTTTGTTTTGTTACATTTCTATTTTTGAGCCAGAGTCTCATGTATCCCAGGCTAGCCTCAAATGCACTGTGTATCAGAGGAAGGCCTTGAACCTCTGATCTTCCTGTTACCTCTCAAGGGCTGGGATTGCAGGTGTGTGCCAGTATGCCCAGTCTGATCTCATGGTTTCTTATGTTTATAATCTTGAGCATTTTCTTTTTTATTGAATTTTTGTATATTTTATACAGAACATCATAATCAAACTTAATCATCTTTATACCCCCTTCCCCATTGGCTCCCTCCCATAGCCCCCCATATACACTGGAGTTCATACATTCTGTCCTTTGTGTTAAGGCCTATTGTGTTGAGTCAGTGTCCCCAGACGTCCCTCAGTGCAAGTCCATCTACTGGGGTCAAAGCAGCCTATCTAGGGTCCTTCCCTTTAAGAAGATCAGCTCTGCTGAGCATTTTCTTTTTTAAATTTTTAATTGGATTTTTATGCATGCCATACAATACATCTTGATCATATTTAGACACCTCCCCTAGCTGCACCCCCTCATAACCACCTGTACCAGACGTCATGCATTATGTCATATATGTTAAGGCCTATTGAGTCAAGCTCGTGCCCCCAAATGTCTTTTGGTGTGAGTCTACCCATGGGAGCCTGGTCAACATATCTAATGTCACTCCCTTAAAGAAGACCAACTCTCCCTTACCCATTAGTGATCAGTTGCCAATAGTTCCTCAGCTGAGGTTGGGGCTTCTTACCCATTTCCCCAGTTCTATACTGAGTTTTTTTCTGGTTTGAGTTTGCGTGGGTCTTGTGCATGTTGTCACCATTGCTGGAAGTTCGTATGAGGAAGTTGGAAAACTCTGTTTCCTTGTGGTCGTCCGCCACCCCTGGCTCTTACAGACTTTCTGTCACTGCTTCTGTGATGGTCCCTGAGCCCTGAGTGGCAGAGGTTTAATATAGGGGTCCTATCCAGGGACGCAGTCTCTTATCCTTTATACTTTGGCCAGTTGTGGCTTTCTGTGTTAATCACCCTCTGTTGTGCAAGTCACTTGAAATTTTTTGCCCAATATATGAGAAAGATAATAAATAAGTAAATAAATAATTAATTGGTACTTGGTTTGCAATAAGAACTATAAGGGAGAAAATGCATATAGAGAGATTCTTATATCTTGCTGTATGATCTTGAATAAGTCATATCCAGATGATAAAAAGGAAAAAAATTGAAGGGGTTATAGAGAGTCCTATCCAGGAACAGCACTCTGCAGCCTTACCTACATTTTGACCAGTTGTGACTTTGTGTTGATCACCACCTGTTGCATGAGGAAGCTTTGCTGGTGAGAGTTGGGAGATGTGTTAAGACTCTCCCTGCCCCCTGTTCTGCTGTGTTCCTGGAGCTTTAGGTATAGAGGTTCCATGGAGATGTGTCACTTAGAACTGGCCAACTCACAGACACTTACTCTGTGTTTAACCAATTGTAGAATTCTGTAATATTCCCCATCTATTGCAAAAAGAAAAAAGCTTTGATGAATGGTGAGAGATATACTTGTCTATAAAGCATATAAGGATCCATTCAACATACAGTAGAAGTTAAGTTTATCTAGGGATGTGACAGATGTAGTGTTTTCTCTGGGATCTATGACCTCTCCAGCCTTGTGTATTTGGCTGTTTACAGTACCACACATGAGTTCCTTCCCATCGAGCAGGCTTTACATCCAATTAGGTAGCTGTTGATTACCCCCAAGATAAAAGTGCCACTACTTCCCAATAGAGATAGTTTGCTGTGCTGGTCATTGCTGTGGTTATTAGGCTTTACAGCTAGATCAGAACATTGATTGGTTTTCTCCCTTAGTAGCTTGTATGGTGCCCTCTCATACCACGAGGCTAGTCTTCAGAGAACAGGCTTCCAGGTCAGTCCAGCTTGATTCACATGAACATTTTCTAACCCTTAGTTAAATGATAAATTCTGCAAGGAGACCATGGTGTTTTCCAGTCTTCTTGAACCCCACTTGTGCTGAAATTAGAATGTCAGTTCACTAATATCCAAAACAACTCGATATAGAGTGTGAGCTTTTCATGGATATTTATTGTCAATGAGTTGGGTATTCCTTCAGCACACAATGCTCTGAGAATCAGGAGTCACTGAGCAGGAACAAAATCAATCCCTGAGAGGTGAGGCCTTTTCCAACTTTCTGAGTATTTGTAAAACAGAAACTCACGACTTTCTTCTCTTCATATCACAGAAAGCTGAACATGGGGAGATGCCTTCCATCCAGAATGGTTATTCAACTTTAAATACACAAACGGAAAAATCATTTTTACTGCAGGATCAGCAAGAACAAACACATAGCAGTTTTAGAGAAAAGGAAGGCCTTGTTGCTCTGCGACGTGTTTGTTCCTCACAATCGAGGGACTTGCTGTATATTTTGATGGTAGTTTTCTTTGTGGTTTCATGGAAATGTGGAGAGTGCCATAAAGGTCAGATAGGAGTTTATTTAGTACCTGTTGTTACCCTACCTGCTCTGGCTGCTGTGATGTGCAATAATTTTTTTCTCTATTTAGAAAGCAATTCTCCAATGTCTAACCCATTCACCATATTTGATCTTTAACAGAATGAAAGCTGTTTGAAATCTAAGCTTATCATCTGTATACTCTGTTTTCCTTCTTTGAATTTACAGTAACCCCCTCTCCCCTTCTCTTCTATAGGATCAACACACTGTGGGAGGCCAGAATACAGGCCCCAGTCCAAGTCCCAACTCCTGCTCAAATCTAAACACTGGAAGTGGTTACATGAACTCCCAGCAGTCCCTGTTGAATCAGCAGTTGATGGGGAAGAAACAGACCCTCCAGAGGCCGACCATGGAGCAGAAGCAGCAGCTTCTCCTCCAGCAGCAGATGCTGAGTGATACGGTAAAGCTTTCTCCTAATGTCTACTTTATAAGCTTGTTGGCCTCTGAGGGGGAAGATGCTCCTTTCCACTTCAATTTCCTGCCCTGTTTTCTGTGTCTAGTAATGTGACAGCAGCCAGAGTGTCCTGGCTGTGAGAGAGGTTGGCTCCATGCATTTAAAATGCTGGGGGGGGGGGGGTTGAGATACTTGATTTACCAACTGCTAGGCATGTGGATTACACAGCCTCTCCAATGACTAGCCCTGCCCAGCTCAGGAATGTTCATGGCCAACATGGGCATTTGACTGGAGCCAAAGAACTCTCAGTTGTTCCCAGCCTCAAAGGGGAGAAACAGTTGCATTTTAATCATCTCAATTCTAAAGTGATTGTAGAGGTAAATGACTTTTAAAGGGAATTTTTAAAAAGCCAGAATGGAGTTTCACAACTAAGACGAGGCTTCCAAATAACAAAGCATCTTGGAATGGAGGAATTTTTTTTAAAGAAAACATACAGTGACTCTTCATTTTCCCTGCCTTTGCCTGTCATTTGAAAAAAGGCAAGGTTCTTTTCCCTCAAACACTACCCAGTCGTTAACCTTGCTTCAGGGTTGATCTGCCCATCTCTCTGTATCCTCAGACATCATCTTACACACCTGTTCAAAACCACACTTTCAGACCGCAGTTCATCTGCAACAGTTTCATTCCATCCCTTCAAACTGGTCAAATGAAATCAAAAGGGACAAAGCCAAGCAGTTCAAGGTTACTAGAGACAAGTTACAAGGAAAGAAAGGCAGCACAGTCTGGAGTGCACCTTGGCAGTAGAGTGCCTGCCTAGCACTAGCACATGTGAGGCCTTGGGTTTGATCCCTAGCACTACAAAAGGAGAAAGATCAAATCATTTTATACTCAAGGGATATTGTAGAAGCAGGAATTTTGGGCATTATAGAGAGCCATGGATATTCAGTGAGTATGGCTACACCATGAAGAATCAAGTCACAAACAAGGCAGCCTCTCCCGTTGTCCTAATGGAGCCAGGAGTCCACTGGGGACATCAAGCAAATGTGCTCAAATGCTATGCTGTGGGAATTGCTAGAAATGGTTTCAGGAAAGAAGTTATATCTCTTAAGGATCAGAAGGTACAGTGGGAGGTGGGAGGAAGACTAAGGGGCCATTCCAATCCAAAGAACCAGCACATTCAAGATCCAGGCACGCCAAAGACACAGCTTATTAAATTTGCCAAGGCATAGAATGTAGTCGGAGGAAAAGAAGTGGAGGCTACCCACCAAGGCCAGAGATGAGAGGCCAGAAGGAGGGGCTTGATATGTCTGAGAATCCAGGAAGGGGATGGTAAGGACATAAAGCAAGAATCACGGTGTTGCATCACACTACAGATAGAGGTGAGAATATCTAGGACCAGTCTGGAAACACAGCAGACCAGACTGTCTCCTATTGTGAGACTGTCACATTGTAATGGGAGGTATACAGTCTACCATTCTAGGCAAAGACCAAAAGGTGCAACCCTGGTTTTATTTATTGGTTAGTTTTAAGTATAAATTGTAATGATACAACAGTCACTTATGTCTTCAAAGGAATGACGCGTGGAAAATGTTGGGAGTCCACAGTGTGTGAGCTTAAATAGCAAGAGATAAATTTATCTGATCTTGAACGAGGACTAGAGAGAGATCAGTGTACAGCCGGCCTTCAGTCCTGCCTGAGCATCTAGGGATAGGGGAGCCACGGGCTGGACCACAAAGTGATACACTGGTTCTTTTCTACAAATCACTGTTCTGAAATCTTTGATCCTCCCACCTGATCCTTCCTCCTCCATATCTTCATCAATATAATCTAAATTGTCTAGAAACCAGGGTGAGGAGAAGAGAAAAACATGCCACCTAAGTCGACTTACTGGTAATTACTTTAACTAATTCCTATTGATGCTACTAATTTGATTGCTTATTCCAATAGCAAATTTCCAGATTTCTATCTTCCATTAAAACTCTGGTTAAAAGTGAGACTCTGACGCTGCTGGTGACCTGACTCCCATTGAGGCCAGTTGAGTCTCACTGGGACAGGCAGAAAGGGCAGTGGAGAGGAGAATGAAGATGGGGCTACACTCTCTGTGGTTGTTATAAACCGTTCACTCCTTGGCCGCCATTGAGGGTGCCTGTGCTTTTAGCATATCCAGGAACAATTCTCCTTTGATGCCCTTCACATTAGCACATGTTTGGTAGTCATTTGAAGTCCTTGGCAAACCCAGATAGGCACCTAAATTGAGGCATTTTCTCATGAAACTTTGTTAGCCTTACTCTCTCACATTCTCCCACCAGTGACACAGAAACAAGAGAGATGAACAATCATGACTACAGTGAATCCTCATGACCAACAGATATTGTGCACCTACTGTGTGCCAGGCACCGTGCTAAGGTTTTGCAGAATGAAAGGATTCATCCTTACAGTAGGATTATGAAACAGGTCCTAGAATTACCCACACTTGCGTTTTTACAAACGAGGAAACCAAAGCAAAACAGGTATCAAATCCAAAGCAAATGTGATGAGGTGAGAATGTAAAATGAGCAGACATGAAACTTTGTTTCACGGAGGTGATGGCAGGGACAGTGTGTGAGTTTACACTTGCAAACAATGAGAACATCATTGTCTTGCAAAATGTAGCTTTCCCCATCCAATATTGGAAGCTAGACTTCACTGTTCTTGCATCCCGACAGTTTTTTTTAATATTTTATTTATTATTTTTATTTTATGTGTGTATTGCTTGCATGTATGTAAGTGCACCCGTGTTGAGCAATGCCCATGGAAGTCAGAAGAGGGCATTGGATTCCCCTAGATCTGGAGTAACAGGCAGTTGTTAGCCAACATGTGGGTGCTGGGAATCAAACCCAGGTCCTCTGCAAGAGCAGCCAGTGCTCTTAACTGCTGAGCCAACTCTCCAGTCCGCAGCCTGGCAGTTCTCAGCAAAGCCATTAGATTGAACTTATTTGGGAACATAGAGTTTAAGAAACTCAGGTTTCCAGAGGTGTAGATGTTAACACTTTGAACAGCAGCAGCTGACCTGCTGGAGAGATAAAGCTGGAGAGGCCACAGCTCAAAGACACGTTAAGTAAATCTGGATTTGAAATCTAGTCCATGGCTAAGAATCAAGAACCTAACCTAATTATCACATTCTCTCTCTCTCTCTCTCTCTCTCTCTCTCTCATCAGTACGAGCAGTAGCAACACCTAATTACATAAGAAAAACACTTCTTGGAAAAGAGATTTCAGAAAATCCCATGCTTGGCTTCAAACTCAAACCTGTCGGTTTACACAAGCTTTTACAACACGGCTGCTTGCTTGTGGCCACATTTGGGTTCATGGAAGATCTCAGGCTGTTTCTTAAACTGGGTTTGGGTAAAACCAACACTGCCCCCTCCCCCGACACACACACACAAAAGGAGTTTCACTGACCACTTTTTCCCTTACTTTGTAAACCCATGTTTAAATGAAGTAATGTAATCCATATGTTCTGCTTCATTTACACTTAGCTCATCAAAATTGTGTTTTCTATGAATTACTTGGTGTCCAAAAACACTCTGTAAGTCTTTCAAGTTTGTTTTTTCTTAGAAACAAGAAATAAATTCGGTTTGTTATTATTTTAAGGCCCTTCCCTGCACCCCTCCAGAGAAGACATATTCTGCTCCAAAGTTTTGGAACTTGATAGAAACTGAGTTGAAGTGAGACAACCATACTCGGCTCCAGTCAGTGGTCTCATCCGTCTATTACAAAGTTTTCTATGTGTCGATCCTTCAATAATCATAGTGTTCTGTCTCTATGCCAATTATTTTGTCTTTAGGAATGGACACTTCTTTAGAGTGCATACAAAATTGCAGCAAAGTAATTTCACAAAGTTCCTGATGCACACCAGAAAAGAAAAGCAGCAGGCTTCTCCAACCTGAGCTGCTGGGGCGGTCACAGTCAAGGCACTTTTCTCTGTAGAACATAAACATCTTACTAAATATCAGCCTCAGACAGGGTTGTTCTGATAACATGATAAACTAAGACAAAATAGGCCACTTCGTAATTTTGTCTAAAAACAGATACAAACAAGGTCACCATATGACCTCAAATACCAAACATCATTGCCCTCTCCTGCTAATGGGAGATAACGACCTCTTGCCTCAATGCAAGACAACACTGCATTTCCTTAGGCTGTCCCCAAGTCACCCAAAGTCACAGTCCTGTGATAGAGTGCTTCTCACAAGGGCTTCAGCAGAGACACCCCTGGCTGCCTGCCTGTTGTCCCTTGTGGCAGTGAGCAGTGACCACAGTGGACATGCTCCTGCCTGTCCATTGCTGAGGCATCAGCAGCAGTGACCACAGTGGACATGCCCCTGCCCGTCCATTGCTGAGGCATCAGCAGCAGAGAAGGGGAATCCCTGGCCTCTCTTACCTCCCAAGCTCACCAACAGGCAGGGTGTAAAGGTAGAACCTTCCTGTCTTTTCGAATGAGACACAACGAAACAACAAGAGGTCCTTACATTGAACGGCAGGAAGGACCTTGAGTTTCTGACTCAGGAATTGGTCTCTGTGCTACCACTGTGTGAATTTGGGCAAGTTTCTTAGCTTAACAAATTCCTGTGTCCTCTTCTTTTAAATGAAATCAACACAACCACCTTGGAGGATTTGTTACAAGGCTGTAGGAAAAGGTGCTGTACATACACACAGGGGCTGTACCACAACCAAGGAGGTTATCTTACCCCTTGATATCTCTTCTGATGGAAAGTTGGCAGCTCTAGCAAATCAAAATACTGAGTGCCCAGGTGTTCTCTGTTTTATCTGGCGATATATTTTCCATAGTGTATGGCATCAGAGTTATAAATAGACACCAAAGCTCATCGGGCACGTGGCAACAGAAACCGGGAAGTGCTGTCTCAAAACTCACAGTTCTAATTGAAATCTAATTGGAAGATGAAGGAAATGGGTCTGCTCACTAGACACAAGACACGTGCTGAATTCCATGGAGAGGCAGAAATGATGCTGCCAAACAGGAAGTAACTGAGATTGAGAAGATTTGTCTCTAATTTACACTACCAAATGAGGTTATGTCCTAAAGCCAATGCAAAATTGTTCAGTTTGTTGTTTGAGACAGGGTCTTGCTGTGCAGTGTAACCTGGCTTCACTTGTGATCCCCCTGCCTCTACCTCCAGAGTGCTGGGATGTCAGATGTACACCAACATGCCTAGACAAAAGTTTCCTGTATTCCTACATTTTTTATATCACATAAATTTTTGTAAGTGAAAATGTAATGACCCAATTCAATATGTTTTCATTTGTGTTTTTTTCAAGGAGAAAATTTCCCCACAGGATCAGATAAACCGGCATCTGACAAGGCCACCCCCAGATTACACAGACCAAAGAAGAAATATGGGCAGTCTGCAGCCGGCTGCTCAGTACCCTGGTAAGTGCTCTTCGAGGGTAGGAAATCATGACCAAGAAGAAGGAAAGCTGCCCCACCTGCACTTCTTCCTGTCTCTGACAGTGCATCTTTCCCAAGCTTTTCACTCCCACTCAACTTTCAAAACCACATTAGAACCAGGTACGATGGCTCACACCCACAATCCCAACACTCACAAAGTACAGCCAGGAGGAATGTCCTGAGTTCAAGTCCAGCCTGAGCTAATAGTGAATTAAGGCCAGCCCAGACTATCATATGAGACCCTGTCTTAGTACCCCACGCCTCAAACATGACCTCTTGGTCCTTTGACAGGTCTTCCCTATCCTGTAGCAACATGTTCATTATTCTGCCGACTGCTTGTGAGAATTTCAAAAACCTGAACCTTTTCCAACTGTTAGATTCATCCATCCTCCTTCCAACACTAACCTTGATCCAGGCAAGTAGACACAGCTCCCTTTAAGAACATCCTGGCAACTAGCATAAAACCTAGTCTTTCTGATTTCCACCTTTGAGTCCATCTCCCTACAGATTGTCCTCCAAAGACAAATCATCCTGCCACCAAAGAATAATTGAAAAGCAAATTCTGTCTTTAGAAGCCTCTCCTAACCAAAGATGAATTCCATTTAAGTCACAGAGTAAAACTTTTTAATTATTTTATTTATTTTCATTTT